GTGCCCTAAAAGTTAGAACCAGAATTTTAAAATGACTCCTGAAATGCACAGGGAGCCAATGCAGGGAGGCCAGAACAGGAGTTATGTGAGCTCTTCTGTGGGTTCTAGTTAGCAGCCTCGCTGCAGCATTCTGCACAGATTGGAGGCGAGCTAGGGAAGATTTGTTCAGACCCATTAAAATGCTATTACAGTAATCTAACCGAGATGAAATGAAAGCATGAACAATCATCTCAAGTTCCTTCTGTGATACAATTCCACGTAGTTTAGAAATGTTTCTTAAGTGGAAAAAACAATTTCGAACTAGCAATTTGCAATGACTGTCCAAAGATAAAGAACTATCAAAGACAACACCTAAATTTCTGAGATTATTATTTACCAAAGGATTTAAGAATGTAAGATACTGCCTGATTACTGGGATTTTATCATCAGGGGCAATAATAAGAGTCTCAGTTTTATTTGCATTTAACTGCAGGTAGTTGTCATTCAGCCATGTTTTGATCTCTAACAGACAGTTTCTGAGTTCTGTCAATTTATGGAATTCGGAGGCTCGAAAAGAACAGTATAGCTGAATATCATCAGCATACAGATGGTAGGACACATTAATGTAACGTTTCAAAATAAAACCTAAAGGGCGTAAATACAATGAAAAGAGGACTGGACCCAGAACAGAACCCTGGGGTACCCCACAAGACAGCTGTGCAACATCAGAGTGAACATTATTCATAAAAACAGTAAAAGACCTTTCAGATAAATAAGAAATAAACCAATTTAAAACGGTGCCAGAAATACCAAATAGATCTCTTAGTCTATTGATAAGAACAGTGTGATCCACTGTGTCAAAAGCTGAAGTCAAGTCCAATAAAACCAACACAGTGTAGTTTCCAGAATCAGCTGCCATCAATATGTCACTAGAAACTTTTAAAAGTGCTGTTTCCGTGGAGTGCAATTTGCGAAAACCAGATTGAAAAGAATCCATGATGTCATTTACCTCCAAGAAGCAGTTTAATTGTTGTGCTACAACCTTCTCCAGGATCTTTGATAGAAAGGGAAGTTTGGAGATAGATCTGTAGTTTTCAGGCATCGAAGAATCCAAATTTGGCTTTTTTAGCAAAGGACAGACAATAGCAGTTTTAAAATAGTGTGGGACAGTGCCAGAACAAAGAGAGGAATTTATCACTTGTACAACACTGGGGCCAATACAGGTAAAAATATCTTTAAAAAGCGACGTAGGAAGGACATCAAGGGGACTCGTTGAGAGTGTCATATGACCCATTAAATCTGAGATGTCCTTAATTGAAACTGGGGTAAAAAAGGACCACTTATCAGGGGTCAGTGACAAAGGAGCCAGTAAAAGGGAAGATGAAGGACAAATACTGGCCCTAATGCTGGAAACTTTATCAATAAAATAATTTAAAAACCGATTGCAATCTGCATACGTAAAAGCACTTTGAGACAAGAATGCTGGAGAGACAATGTTCTTGATTGTATCAAATAAAATTTTTGGATTTCGTCCTTTGGAATTGATGAGATTAGTAAAATAACGAGCTCTGGCAGTCTTGAGCATCTCATTTAGAGAGCTGATCAGATCTTTAAGATGTAGTCTATGAACCACCAACCCAGTACGTTTCCACAGACGTTCAGTTTTACGACATGTTCTCCTCAAAGTAAGGATTTCATTGTTGATCCACGGACAGCTAGTACGTTGGACAATGCTTTGTTTCAATGGTGCTATAATGTTCAATATGTCCATACAGTGAGTGTTAAAACAGGAAACAATTGAATCTACGTTCATGATGTCATAATCCAAAGAGGCGGAATCAAATAGAGCAATATACACACTGTACACATCAAAGGGGACGGCTTTTCAGCGCTGGTGTACAGAGAAAGGTTTAGAGGCCACCTCATGCCCATTAGGCGGCGTGTTGTCTTTCTACAACAGCTGATGGATAGGAAGTTGGCATTCAGTACGTTTAAAACGTACGCTGCAGTCATCTCTTCCTGCCACGAAGGGTTCGGAGACAGAATAGCTTTTAATCACCCGCTGATGAAGCGTTTTTTTTCTAAAAGGTGTATAGAGACGCAGGCCTGCTTCACGTCCACTTGCTCCACAGTGGGATTTAACGCTGGTCCTGCGAGCCCTGATCAAAGCTCCATTTGAGCTTCTGGATCAGGTTTTTCACTTAAATTCTTGTCTCTTAAAACAGCCCTGCTGCTGGCTTTAACATCCGCTGAGAGAGTAAGTAATTATCTGCCCTCTCTGTTGCTCCGTCATGCCTTAGAATTCAGGCTGACGGGCAGCTCAGCTGATTTAAGACCAACCCAGCTTTTATGCCTAAAACATCACAAGCTCTTTTTTAAATCATGAGTGATATCGTTGGAGGGGTTCTCCCCCCCCCACAGATCAGAAGAAGAAGCATCTTTTCATCTTCTCTGTCCGGTGCGGGCGTTGACGTGTTACATAGCGCGCACAGCTGCAATGTGTCAAACTCAACAATTGTTTGTGCATTATAGAGATGCATCTGCAGGTCGCCCGTTATCCACCCAGCGCTTGTCACACTGGCTGTGTGAGGCCTTTTCTGAAACCTACAGAGCATCAGATTTAGAGCCTCCTGTCAACCTCAAAGCACACTCCACCAGGGGTATCGCATCTTCGACTGCTCTGCATAATAGTATGTCAACGCGGGACATTTGCACTGCGGCTGCATGGTCAACACCCTGCTCATTTATTCGCTTTTACCTACGTGATGTGACGGCTCGTTCCATGACACATTCTGTTCTTAGTGCTCTAACAGAATGAATATTGTTGTTCTCATGGAACTCTGTTTAAGCTCACTTCTGTCTGCATGCATTACAGTGTGAGATGTGGTTATCAGTCACAAGTTGTGTCTGTGATTTTGGTTCCGTTGTCACTAATCAGTTCATGACTATTGTGACCAATCAGTTCATTTGATCAATAATCAGTTCATTGATATTAATCTGTTTATACTGCTCAGCCATGAACCAGTTGGTTCATGCCCCCCCCCCCTCTTTTCAACATCTTCTTCCCGTTGAAAGTTTTCCGGGGCGTTCATGCTTTGTCAGAACGCATAGTTACACAACATGCGTCTGTGCATGGCACATAATTACGCGATGCGTAGTTATGTACACGGGGAGCTGAGTGACAAGACGTTTTTTTGGGCAAGCTTCCGCTTCTTACTGTGTTCGAATGGACCCAGTGAGGCGAGGACCACATCCGCTTCGCCCTTAACCCATCAGCGACAGCCTTAAAGGGCGAAGCCTATATGACATAGAACGTTGGTTACGTACTGTAACCCCAGATTCTATGAATATAGGCATAGCCCTTTAAGCGTCGGGCCTCACTGGCTCCTAAATGGCTGAAGAAAAAAGCTATTTTGGGAGCCGATTTCCCGCTCTTAACGTAATTTATACGGACCGGGTGGAGCCCACACAGCAGGTGGGCGTGGACTAAATTTTTTCAGTGCTTATGCTACGCATAACGGGATAAACCCATCAGCGACAGCCTTAAAGGGCTACGCCTATATTCATAGAATCTGGGGTTACAGTACGTAACCAACGTTTTTCTTCTCAGCCAAGAAGAAAAACTGATAGGAATTTTTTCGCCTCCAATTCCTACGTGTCCAGTTTCACTACTTTTTGTTTGTCTAAACAGATCTCACTTGTAAATGAGTCTTCTAGGCTCAATGTGACTTATCTGTCTAAATAAAGGTTGAATGAATTAATTAACTTTCACTTTCGCTTTCATCACAGCCAGTGCAGTGAGCAATACTGTGTAGCATATTTTGCTGAACAGAGCATGGTAAGTTTATTTTAACTGACCTGTAAAATAAAATATAAAAATCAACAATAAATTCTCTTCAATCTTCCAACCCGCTTGTCATTAGTTACATGCCTCTCAAGTTAGCAAGCTAACATTTATATAACCTAGCATAAGCTATTGCCTTGTAAAACTTTATTTTGTTTATGTTGTTTTTATAAGCCAGATGTCAAAGACAAATCTCCATTTCATTGAATGCTATGGACAATAACGTTGAATTGATTGATTGATTCAGAACAATGAATCTATTGTATAAGTAAACTATCTCAGTGTTAGTAATGTTATCTTTACACATTGTTTGTCTGAAATCTTTACTTCTCTGCAAAGAAAAAATAAATGTTGCTGCAGTCAATACTAATAATCAGACCTTCACCATCCATGACTGACTGTTTAAACAATGAACAGGAAGGTGGTTCTTTGTTTAATTAATATTTTTGTAACACAATTGATAACTTTATGGTGAATAGTGGAGGATAAAAAATGTGAATGCACATTAGGAAGACTGTTTGACTTTAAGTGTTAAAACAGGTTTTAAAGGAGCTGTTTACTTTGATTATTGGTGGTGGAAAAATATATTTTTTAAATTCAGTCATTATATCAATTATGGAAATTTTGGCTATTGCAATATCAATATTGGAAGGGGAAGAGGAATGCTAATGTCGATAACCAATTAATTGTGCAATCTGTGAAGAGGAACTGAAATATTTTTCTAGTATTATTTCCACTGTAGAGGCAGCACGGTGGCACAACTGGTAGAGCTGCTGCCTCTCAGCGAGCAGGTCCCTGGTTCAAACCCCGGTCCAGGGGCCTTTCTGGGTGGAGTTTGCATGTTCTCTCTGTGCATGCGTGGGTTTTCTCCGGGTGCTCCGGTTTCCTCCCACAGTCCAAAAACATGCATGTTAGGCTGATTGGTAACTCTAAATTGTCCCTAGGTGTGAGTGAGAGAGTGAATGGTTGTTTGTCTCGTGTGTCTCTATGTGGCCCTGTGATGGACTTGCGACCCATCCAGGGTGTACCCCGCCCCTCGCACAGTGATTGCTGGACATGGGCACCAGCGACCCCCGTGACCCAAAATGGAATAAACGGGTAAAGATAATGGATGGATGGATGGATTTCCACTGTACATGATAAACTTGTGTCTTTTAACTCTAATGTTGATACTTACAGCCTGTTTGGTGGATTTGCCACCAGCCTTCAAGTCTTTCAGCTTCTTCTCCTGCTTGTCATACTGTTTCTGCAGCTCTTTTTGCTTCTGTTTGTACATCTTCTTGAAGGTCACTTAAAGAAAACCACAAAAAGACAAAATGCAATTCCACATGCAGTCTTAAAGACATAAAATCCTGGATGACCCTTAATTTTCTGTTTTTAAACCCAGACAAGCATCCAGTTCTAAAGATAAAAACCTACTGTAGATATTTCTGGATATGTCTTTTATCTCCCACATAAAAAAGTTACAAGGACCTTGTTCTTCCACCTGTGTAATATCACTAAAATTAGAAACATCTTATCTAAAAATGATGCAGAAAAACTGGTTCATGCATTTGTCACATCTAGACTGGACTATTGCAATGGTTTATTATCTGGGTGTCCAAATACTTCTTTAAAACATCTTCAGTTGATCCAAAATGCTGTTGCCAGAGTTTTAATGAGAGTTGATAGTAGATATCATATCTCTCCAGTTTTAGCTTCTCTCCATTGGCTCCCTGTCAAATCCAGAATAGAATTCAAAATCTTACTTCTAACCTACAAAGCTCTCAACAACCTAGCTCCATCTTATATTACAGATCTTATTGTTCCATATTTTCCTAACAGAACACTTCACCATCAGACTGCAGGTTTACTTATGCAAGGGCTGAATATTATTCTGTGGTGGCCAAGGCCACCATTGGCCACCCCCTGGCTCATCCACTGCACCTGGTGGTGGATATTGCTCCCTCCACTCTCCAGGATCTATCACTCTGCGCTGCCTCAGACAAGTATAAATACCCTCAACCCCCCATTCTTCTCCACAGTGTAACTCCTTACACACTTGTATATCTTGCATCTAAAACTTTAAGGCTCTCTGTTCAATTCCAGTCCAGAAAAACACTCATTTCCAAAACTACAAACATTCACTATTTAAATCCCTCAGTGATGGGGGACATAGGCATCCCGGTACTGCTTGAATAGTTTTTAGTTTAAAAAACAGAAAGTATTAATTTCTTTGTAAGTGAGCAACCTCATTTCACCTGCTGTATATTATCACAGGGTTAATGAAATGCTTCATTAATAATTGACATCTCTACAACTTGCCAAAGTCACTCGAAATTAGACATAACCCACAAATTTAGATGAAAACTCCATATTTGCCTTCAGTTTGATTATAAACGTTTGCTCAGACTGGTCTCCAAGCCTTTTTCTATTTTATCTAAAAGTCAGCTGTAAAATGAAAAGCAGAAAAATGTCTAATTTAAAACATAAAACAATGCTAAACCAATACTCACAATAGTTTCCTCTGTAGTAGTATAGTTTTTGGTTGTCTAGATGGATGATATCTGTACACACATCGTCAAGAAAACTCTGGTCATGGGAAACTATCAGGAGGGTTTTCTTCCAACCTTGAAGGTAGCTGTAAGTAGAAAAGAGGTTCATTAAAAAACAAAACAAAAAAAAGTCATCTGACGTTTACAGTTTAAAAAAAATTCCACAATCTGAGACATTCAACGACTTCATACTTATTGAGCCAGATCACAGCATTTAGATCCAGGTGGTTGGTGGGCTCGTCCAGCATCAGTAGAGTGGGCTCCATGAACAGGGCTCTACAGGAACACAAAGAACCAGTTAAAATAAAGAAACTGCATTTTCTGCTGGAGTGCAGAGAGAATGCCGAGCGCTCAGTGGCATAGCTAAAATGTACTGAAGTGGCAGAAATATTTAAAGAGTTGAACTTTTAGCAAAACCATCAATAAAACAAACAAAGCGATAAAATTGAATAAATCTCAACTTGCTGACAAGACAAGAGCAGGATGGAGGAAATACAAAGGAACTACACTTGTTAAAAAGGTCACGTGACTGCATTACAAAGATAACAGCATCAAATCAAATAACAGAACTGGGAGAACGAGCTCAATGCCCCCCCTCCTCAGGCCTCATATATTATCGTAAGCCCGGGAATAAAAGTGAGTTTTTAAACGAGACTTAATAAAGACAGTGAGGGAGGGGGCCTGCCTGACATGCAGTGGTAACTCATCCCACAGTCTTGGACCTGCAACAGAGAAGGGCCCGGTCACCTCTGAGTTTAATGTGTGCCTGGAACCAGTAAAAGCATCTGGTCTGCTGACCTCCGAGCGCTGGGGGACATATGGCTGCAGCAGATCAGTGAGATAAGAGGAGGCAGAACTGTTCAGATTTAAAAACATACAGAATGATTTCAAAATGAATTTGGAGGTGAACTGGGAGCCAGTGCAGGGAAGTCAATAACGGAAAAATGTGCTGTCCTCTCCTGCCCACAGCCCACAGCTGTCATACATGTTGGACTAGAGGAAATCACGGGGCCTCAACATGCTAAACATGACACTGCTCATTACCACGTGCAGTGTTTCTCCTAGGTCAATGGCAGGGTGCTCATGCCATTGTGGATATTTCTCGACGGGTGTGGGGGGAGGAGAGACGGACACAAGTCTGTGTTGTGTGCCTGTATATTAGTGCTGACAGTTCCTTAGATAGAGAACTTTACTAATTGGCTTTTATATATGTGAATGTTCCTGTAAAGTGCCCTGAGACAACTTTGTTGTGATTTGGCGCTATATAAATAAACTCCCCTCCCTGGGCTGCCACCTTACTGTGGTGGAGGGGTTTGAGTGTCCCAATGATCCTAGGAGCTATGCTGTCAGGGGCTTTATGCCCCTAGTAGGGTCACCCATGGCAGACAGGTCCTAGGTGAGGGACCAGACAAAGTGCAGCCCAAAGACCCCGATGTTGACACAAATAAATGGACCTAGTGTTCCCTTGCCCGGACGTGGGTCACCGGGGCCCCACTCTGGAGCCAGGCCTGGAGGTGGGGCACGCGGGCGAGTGCCTGGTGGTCGGGCTTTTACCCATGGAGCTCGGCCAGGCAAAGCCCGAAGAGGAGACGTGGGTCCCCCTTCCCATGGGCTCACCACCTGTGGGAGGGGCCAAAGGGGTCGGGTGCAATGTGGGATGGGTGGTGGCCGAGGGCGGGGACCCTGGCGGTCTGATCCTCGGCTACAGAAGCTGGCTATTGGGACGTGGAATGTCACCTCACTGGTGGAGAAGGAGCCTGAGCTGGTGTGTGAGGCTGAGAGGTTCCGGCTAGAAATAGTCGGACTCACCTCTACGCATGGCTCGGGCTCTGGAACCAGTTTCCTTGAGAGGGGCTGGACACTCTTCCACTCTGGAGTTGCCCCTGGTGAGAGGCGCCGAGCAAGCGTGGGCGTACTTATTGCCCCCCAACTTGGTGCCTGTGTATTGGGGTTCACCCCAGTGAATGAGAGGGTGGCCTCCCTCCGCCTACGTGTGGGGGGACGGGTTCTGACTGTCGTTTGTGCTTATGCACCAAACGGCAGTTCAGATTATCCACCCTTTCTGGAGTCCTTGGAGTGGGTACTGGAAAGTGCACCTTCTGGGGACTCCCTTGTTCTGCAGAGGGACTTAAATGCTCATGTAGGCAATGACAGTGAGACCTGGAAGGGTGTGGTTGAGAGGAACGGCCCCCTGAGCTGAACCAGAGTGGTGTTCTGTTGTTGGACTTCTGTGCTCGTCATGGATTGTCAATAACGAACACCTTGTTCAAGCATAAGGGTGTCCATATGTGCTCTTGGCACCAGGACACCCTAGGCCGCAGTTCGATGATCGACTTTGTCATCGTCTCATCTGATCTGCGGCCACCTGTCTTGGACACTCGTGTGAAGAGAGGGGCGGAGCTGTCAACTGATCACTACCTGGTGATGAGTTGGCTCCGATGGTGGGGGAGGATGCCGGTCAGACCTGGCAGACCCAAACGTATTGTGAGGGTTTGCTGGGAACGTCTGGCAGTCTCCTGTGAGACCGAGTTTCAACTCCCACCTCCGGAAGAACTTTGAACATGTTCCGAGGGAGGTGGGGGACATTGAGTCTGAGTGGACCATGTTTCGTGCCTCTATTGTCGAATCGGCTTACCAGAGCTGCGGCCGCAAGGTTGTCGGTGCCTGTCGCAGCGGCAACCCTCGAACCCGATGGTGGACACCGTCGGTGAGGGATGCTGTCAGGCTGAAGAAGGAGTCCTATCGGGCCTTTTTGGCCTGTGGGACCCCGGAAGCAGCTGATGGGTACCGGCAGTCCAAGCGACATGCGGCTCGGGTGGTTGCTGAGGCAAAAACTCGGGCATGGGAGGAGTTCGGAGAGGCCATGGAGAACGACTTCCGCACGGCTTCGAGACGATTCTGGTCCACCATCCGGCGTCTCAGGGGGGGAAAGCGGTACGCCACCAACACTGTTTATAGTGGGAGTGGTGTGCTACTGACCTCAACTCGGGATGTTGTGGGTCAGTGGGCGGAATACTTTGAAGACCTCCTCAATCCCACCGGCACGTCTTCCACTGAGGAAGTGGAGCCTGGGGACTCTGGGTCGGGCCCTCCAATCTCTGGTGCTGAGGTCACCGAGGTGGTTAAAAAGCTCCTCGGTGGTAGGGCCCCAGGGGTGGATGAGATTCGCCCAGAGTTCCTTAAGGCTCTGGATGTTGTAGGGTTGTGTTGGCTTACGCGACTCTGCAATATTGCGTGGACATCGGGGGAAGTTCCCCTGGATTGGCAGACTGGGGTGGTGGTCCCCCTATTCAAAAAGGGGGACCGTAGAGTGTGTTCCAACTACAGGGGAATCACGCTCTTAAGCCTCCCTGGTAAGGTCTATTCGGGGGTTCTGGAGAGGAGGGTCCGGTTTTCGTCCTGGCTGTGGAACACTGGACCAGCTCTACACTCTCAGCAGGGTCCTGGAGGGTGCATGGGAGTTTGCCCAACCAGTCTACATGTGCTTTGTGGACTTGGAGAAGGCGTTCGACCGCGTCCCTTGGGGGGCCCTGGTACTCTGAGAGTATGGGGTACCGGGCCCTTTGATATGGGCTGTTAGGTCCCTGTATGACCGGTGTCAGAGCCTGGTCCGCATCGCCGGCAGTAAGTCGGGCTTGTTCCCGATGAGAGTTGGACTCTGCCAAGGTTGCCCTTTGTCACCGATTCTGTTCATAACTTTTATGGACAGAATTTCTAGGCGCAGCCAAGGTGTTGAGGGGATCCGTTTTGGTGGCCTTAGGATTGCGTCTCTGCTTTTTGCAGATGATGTGGTCTTATTGGCTTCATCAGATCGTGATCTACAGCTTTCGCTGGAGCGGTTCGCAGCCGAATGCGACGCGGCCGGGATGAAGATCAGTTCCTCCAAATCCGAGGCCATGGTCTTGAGCCGGAAAAGGGTAGAGTGCCCTCTCCGGGTCAGGGAGGAAGTCCTACCCCAAGTGGAGGAGTTCAAGTATCTTGGGGTCTTGTTCACGAATGAGGGAAAAATGGAGCGTGAGATCGATAGGCGGATAGGTGCAGCGTCTGCAGTGAAGCGGGCGCTGTACAGGTCTGTCGTGGTGAAGAGAGAGCTGAGTCAAAAGGCGAAGCTCTCAATTTACCGATCGATCTACGTTCCCACCCTCATCTATGGTCACGAGCTTTGGGTTGTGACCGAAAGAATGAGATCTAAGATACAAGCGGCCGAAATGAATTTTCTCCGCAGGGTGTCTGGGCTCTCCCTTAGAGACAGGGTGAGAAGCTCGATCATCCGGGAGGAACTCAGAGTAGAGCCGCTGCTTCTCCACGTCAAGAGGAGCCAGTTGAGGTGGCTTGGGCATCTGTTTAGGATGCCTTCTGGACGCCTCCCTGGTGAGGTGTTCCGGACACGTCCCACCGGAAGGAGGCCCAGAGGAAGACCCAGGACACGCTGGAGGGACTATGTTTCTCGGCTGGCCTGGGAACGCCTCGGGATTCCCCCGGAAGAGCTGGCCCAAGTGGCTGGGGAGAGGGAAGTCTGGGCCTCCCTACTTAGGCTGCTACCCCCGCGACTCGACCCCGGATAAGCGGAAGAAAATGGATGGATGGATGGATGGATGGATAAATAAACTGAATTGAATTGTCGGCAGGGTGGTGGTGGTGGAGGGGGAGTTGAGGGTGAAGAATCATTTTGGTAGGCAGAGCGCTCGGTTCTTTTTTTATATTAGACAAACATAAATGCAGATGTGAAATCCATTTTCTTCCAACTAAGACTCATTGCCAAAGTGAAGTCTTGTCTCCCTTTCAGAGACTGTGAAAAGGTGATTCACACTTTTATTAGCTCTCGTTTGGACCACAGTAATGCTCTGTATGTTGGTTTAGATAAATCATCTCTGCATCTCTTACAGAACGCAGCAGGTCGTCTTTTAACAGCAACTAAAAATATGAACACATAACCCCAGTCTTGGCTTCCTGCCCACTTCAGGATTGATTTTAAGATTTTGTTGCTTGTTTTTAAATCTTTAACGGTCTGGCCCCGTCTTATTTATGTGATCTTATTAACATCTACACTCCAGTAAGAGCACTCCTGTCTACCAACCAGTTCCTCTTAGATGTCCCCAAATCCAAACTGAAGTCCAGAAGTGATCAGACTTTTGTGGTTGATGCTCCAAAACTGTGGAACAGTTTACTTGATCATTTAAAGACCGCTCAGACTTTTAAATCTTTGCTCAAAACTCATCTGTTTTCCTTAGCGTTTGATGCATGAGAACCAGTTTTACCTGATTTTGATTGTTTTT